ACTTTCTGTCTCTATGAGTTTGACTATTTCAGGTACCTTACATAAGTGAAATTACACAACGTACGTCCCTCTGTGATCGGCTTACTTCACTTAGTGTGATGTCTTTAAGATTCATCGATGTCAGCATGTGTCAGAATGTCCTTCCTTTCTAAGGCTGAGTTATTATATGTATAGACCACATTTGTTTATCCATTCATCTGTCAGAAGATACTTGGGTTGCTTCCACCTTCTGGCTGTTGTAAATAATGCTGCTGTCAACATGGGTGTACAAATATCTGTTTGAGTCCTTGCTTTCAATTCTATTAGATATATACCCAGAAGTGGAATCGCTGAATCATATGATAATTCTATTTTTACTTTTTTGAAGAACTGCCATACTGTTTTCCAAAGCGCTGCACCATTTTACATCCCCTCCAGCCATGCAGAAGAGTTCCAATCTCTCTACGCTCCATTGATTCTGAGCCCATTGATGAGCCCATTCTGAGTGCCCTGGGTCGGGAATGCCTACTGTGCTGACCCGGTCACTCATCACCCACAGCAAGCTCCACAGAGATTTCCTCCACCAGGACTCCTTCTGGGTTGAAGGCTTCTCGTTGTACCCTCACCAGGCAGAAGGGGCTGGGAAGCCCTGTGCAGCCTCCTTTATAAAGGTTCTAGCCCCAATCATGAGCACAGAGCCCTGTAGATCAGATGCCTGGCCTTCTAATACTATCACCTTGGGCATCAGGTTTTCAGCATGTAGATTTTGGGAGAATACAAACGTGCAGACCATAGCAGATGTGAAGATAAATAATTCTGCAAAACTGCTGAAGATTTAGACTCTACACATGGTCTTACAAAATAGAAGGTAACCGAAATGGGGAAGCTACGCTTGACTATTCCCGGCTTCCGCTCGCTCTCCGCACCACAGCATGAGGCATTGGCGAGCAGCGACACCCCTCCAATTTGTCCTCATTTCCGGGTTCTCCGTGGCCCGTGTAAATGCGCAGCCCGCCTCAGAACCCGGACTCTCTGTAGCAAGATTCTCCTTCCTTTCCCTGCCTCCCAGACTGTGATGGTGCAAGAGCAGGATGCCCTCGAGCCAAAGAGCTGGTGCAAAATCTAATAAAGGGAAGACGATTATGCGCTCAAAGATGCGTCCATTCTTGCAGGATACGAGCGTTATGTAAAGAGATCAGGCAGGAGAGGCAACAAATAAATGGGCTGGTGCTGAACTGGGCTTCCATGGACCCGCCAGGCTGCCCTCTGGACATCCACAGATTTGGCCTCAGGATGTACCCCTGGAGTGACAAAATGGCCATTTTCTTTTTCAACTGTGTTTTTCGGTTTAAGTTTCCATACTGTCTCTAAAGTTCCCCTTTGAATACACTAAAGGAGAAAAGGTTCTCGAGGACGTGGGTGCATTGTTACTTGCTTTTATTGTAAGTAGCTGAGCATCAGCAGGTACAGTTCGAGGCTGGGTTTCTTTGGCAGTCTTGTATTGTTCCTGCGTGCTCAGACTCCCAAGGGTGGCATTCCCATGTAAGCTATCGCAGTCAGCTTCTGATAAATGACTCTCGGCTAGCTGTGCCGTGCACACAGCGGCTGAAAGAAACAAAGCCCTCCTCTGACTCAGCATAGGTACAGCGGCAGGGACCATTGTTCAGAAGGCCCAGGGGCAACACCAGAGCCCATGGGCACCTTTCAGCCCCTCTCAGCTCCTGTGCCAGCACAGGCTGGATTGCCCTTGTATTTTTTATTCCGATGGGCTTTACTGATTAGGTAGAGCTCACGCAGCCAGGCACATATAATTGAATGTCAATGACAGTCAATCCAATGTCATATTTTAGAACTTATATCAGGAAGACAATCTCAGAATCTAACAGAATTTTATTGGTATACCAGATATATTAAAAGGCAACACAAACATCACGCTTTACCGCAAAAATAAAGAAATATAGTTCCATGACTCTTTCATTTCAATTAGGACATTTTTTTAGGGCAGTAAATACTGTGAAGTTCTATGGAGAAGAATTTGCAATGTGCTCTGTGTGCTTTATTATTCATTATGTAGTATACATCATGAAGTCAGTTTTATTCAAGATATGGATGAAGACATGGAGCTTATTCTGGGACTTCTGATTTAAAATGGGTAAACCGGGCTTCCCTGGTGGCGCAGTGGTTAAGAATCTGCCTGCCAATGCAGGGGACAGGGGTTCGAGCCCTGGTCTGGGAAGATCCCACATACCGCAGAGTAACTATGCCTGTGCGCCGCAACTACTGAGCCTGCGCGCCACCACTACTGAGCCCGCGAGCCACCACTACTAAGCCCGCAAGCCACAACTACTGAAGCCTGCACACCTAGAGCCCGTGCTCAGCAACGAGAAGCCACCGCAATGAGAAGCCCACGCACTACAAGGAAGAGTAGCCCCCACTCTCCGCAACTAGAAAAAGCCCACGCGCAGCAACGAAGACCCAATGCAGCCAAAAATAAATAAATAAATTTTAAATAAATAAATAAAATGGGTAAACCATGCAAGGCAGAAATAGAGACACAGATGTAGAGAACAAACATATGGACACCAAGCGGGGAAAGCAGGGGTGGGGGGGGGCGGTGGTGGTGGTGTGATGAATTGGGAGATTGAGATTAACATACATACACTAATATGTATTAAATAGATAACTAAGAAGAATCTGCTGTATAAAAAAATTAAATTCAAAACAAAATAAAATGGTAAACCCATTCATGCACAAATACATCATGCATAAGATTTCAACACCTGAAATATGGCTTAAATATAAAAGTTTCTTTGTGTGTTTCTATTTCTTCTTTTGGAGGCTGATGGATAGAGCCTTTGGTTTCAGAAAATTGGAAAATAACCTGCGGGAAGGGGAAGAATTTTAAGCATAAGTATATTGTACGAGAAAATGTAAATAGGAAGGACGAAACAGAGGAAGGGAAGTTTTTTTGGCTTTCAAGCAACACTAAGAGAGGCAGTAAAAGAGTGATAATGATAGCAGTTAGGCAGGGCTGCTCCAGCCTATCAGATGCTTGGGCTGGATGTTCTGACTCGCTTTGAGATCCACTCTCCACCCCTCCACCTTGGTCCGTGCCCTGCAGGAGAACCTCTACAGACTGCATCACCTGGGTATCCTTTCCTGTTGGCTTCCGGTTGGGTTCAGCCAATGGGAGGCACCAGCCAGAGGTCAGAAGGAGGGACTAGAGAGGTCAGGGTATCATTCCCTCCGCTCCCTCCCTGAGGGGCCTTGGTTTGGCAGTTGCAGTGTCTTCTGGCTGCATTCCATGGTTTCAGATCTCACGCATTCTGCTAACAGCTCCATCCCCTCTGGCTCTTCTGCTGTTGCCAGCCCCACGGTTCTTTGTGACATTGGTTGGTTTCCTTCAACCCTGTTCACACCTTTGTAAACAGTCTCTTCTTTAAACTCTCTTTATTGCTCCTTTGAGTGTGCCATGTGTTTCTTACCGGGACACAGACAAACATAGTGCCTTTGTAGGAATTAGAAAAGGATGCCCAGATGGGAATATGAAGGTTTAGTATACTATTGTCTCTACTTTGGTGCATATGCTAAAATTTTCTAAAATAAAAAGATTCCCACAAAAGAGAAGAAAAGGAAAGGGAAAGGGCTGGATTTCAGCCCCAGCTCCCTCCCTCAGCAGATGACTTTGTGCGGTGACCAAAATGCCCTGCCGAACTTGGAAGCCCTACAGAAAAGTGGGCAGATCCCTAAAAACTGGAAAACGTCTCAAAGAGAAAGTGAGGATTGACCTGGGGCTTTAAAGATATTTAAAACTCGAACGGGCAAGTTCTTTGCCGGCAAAGATAAGATGGATCCAGGGAGAAGATTCCATAAGGCAAGGAGGGTACCTTGAAGGGAGTGTTGCAGCCTAAGAAAGTAGACAGGAGGTGGAGATGGGCTTGGATTGCTGAGCCATAAAGTGTGAATTGTAGCTTATGATCAACCAGGCAATATGGTGCAGTGTTTGGGCACGTGGGCTCTGAAGTTAGATCCATTAGCTCTGTGACTTTGCACAGTTACTTATCCTCCCTAAGTCTCAGTTTTCTATTATACGAACGGGGCTGAAATAGTACCTACCTCCTAGACTTGCTGGGAGACTGAAGTTTTCTTTTGTTGGTTTTTTTGTGGGTTTTTTTTTTTTTTTTTTTTTTTTTTTTTTT